TGCTGTATTGATTACTTAAATCTAGACTTAGGAAAAGGCGCGCTAAAATAAGAGTTTACTCAGTTTCCATAAACATATCTGTTGTATACATATTTATTGTGCATTGGTATGAAATTATTGCACTTAAACACACAACTGAATGGGCTTGGTTATGTGTGCCTGCGGTTTTTACTTACTTATATATAATTCGATAAAGTTTAGAAAATAAAGATTAAATTTTTTCAATAGCCTTTCATTAATTTTCATTTTTTTGTCGTATTTGCAAGTAGAAAATTTTTTCAAATTCATTTTTAAACACCTTAAAACATCCCTGGAGCATTAGAATTTATGTGACTACATTCAGTGCAATTTTATCAACCTTATCAATGATTTATGAATCAGGTTTACAGAGTAAAATATATATATATACACATCTTTATACTGTCTGGTTTATACTTTGCGTATGTCAATCAAAAAGTTAACGTTAATACATTATGAAATTCAATTTGAAAATCTTTTAAAACAGTGGGATCGGGCGCGCCACGTTGTGACCTTAAGCATCAGTTGTCACTGGCTAGAAATTAATATTGTGCATTAAAAAGTTTTCACATAACCAACTTACGCAATAACAAGATGTATGAGATTAAGGATAATTTCAGATAGGATAAATTCCAAACTAATCACGGTGAATATTTCCAAAATTAAATAAGATTTTGAATTAAGAACTAACTGATTTTGTATTGACATAATGATTTATCTAGTAAGTAATGGTATTTCCTTGTAAGTTTTACAAGAAATTTAATCAAAATCTGTAGAAAACAGAGATCAAGTGATTAATGAATAACAAAAAAGTCATGTAACTGTCGTGCTAATTATGCAGCCGGATAATACACAGATAGATAACCTTGGCGGGGGAACCCTCCAGGAAATGATAAAAACGGTGATGGTGGAATTCAACCGCTAACATGCATGACATTCTCGTTCGGAATTATGTCGTAATTTAAATCACGAGATTTGTACTACATACGTAGGTAGGTAGGTATCAATCCGTGACTTTCATTCATCGAGTTAAATGACAAAACTATAAGTAATGCTAGGCCTATAGATATGTCTAGATACGGCTAGTTGAACGTTCAGCCTGAATTATCAAAGATTGCGTTTAACATTAGGATAGATCACGTTTACCTACACTATGAACAGGACTGTATAACCCTAGTTAAAAGAAGTTTCAGTTTCGTTTTCATCACAGGTTATAACCCGACTAGAAATTATGATATGAGGGTATAACCTCGATTCATACAAGGTCCTGACAAGGAGCACTCTATGCGGACATGAGTAGGAATGTTGCGATTCTTTTCAAGAAGAAACTGATAAGGAAATAAAATTAGGACCTAATAGGGGAATTCAAAGAACCCTATCAAAACCTGATTGCAAATTTATTATTAAAATAGGCCAGTTTAAAGATAACGATAGATTTACTGATAAAATTTTTTTGCCATCGTATAAAAAGACTTGTAAAATTGTAATTGACATTTAACAAGAAGGAAAATCCATTTTCTCTTGGGTAGTCATCTGTAAAGCATGAAATGATCTAATTCTGGTAAGATCCTAGTGTGGCAAACATGATTTCATCAATTTTTTACTTTGATAAACTGTGGACATCCTGATTTGGACCTGACAAGTATATTGGATATGTTTATTCAATCCTCATTAGGACCTCACTGGGAATTCCTTAAACTGGACAGCCTCATTAGGTCCTCACATATGTCGGGCTAACCTGCTTCTAATTTCTAGTCGGGTAACATACAATTTACTAATATAAGTAACTACTTCATAAACATAAGCATATAGAGACCGAACTAACAGTAACAGGTTGGAGGCTATCAATTGAAACCGGTGAGGTAGCAAGTGCCTCGATTCTATTGGCTGAATACGCCAATTATGACGTGAATTAGCTGCTGATATAGAAATACAGCCAATAAAATTTAGGCACCAATTATCCTATCCTGAGAGGCTTCACTCCTTGCGCCTGTAATCACACTTTAGAGTTTGTCTCGACATTCTTCTGTCTCTGGTATACGAGGACGGTTCAATAAGTACATCTTTTTTTTTTTAATTTTTTTTATTTTTCTACATAGTCCCCTTTTAGAAAGATACACTTCTCCCAACGACCCTGCCATTTTTTTTACCCCTCCAAAAAATAAGATTTGTCGAACTCTCCAAAATCCCCCCTGTCTCGGCGATGACTTCCTCGTTTGAGCTAAATTTCTTTCTCGCTAGTCATTTCTTCATGGTAGGGAACAAGATGAAGTCGCAGGGAGTCAAATCGAGTGAGTACGGGGTGTGCGGCAGCAAATTCATAACGTAATTCATGCATTTTGGCGGCAACAACTCCTGATGAATGTGCCGGTGCGTTATCGTGTTGAAAACGCACCTTCTTTTTCGTCAAATGCGTCCGTGTCTCCTTCAATTTTTTGTCGAAGCGGTCCAATAACTCACTGTAGTATTGTCCAGTGATCGTTCTTCCTTTTCCTAAAAAATCCGTAAAATGATTTCCTCGGTAACAACGTTTGCCAGGCTTCCTGGTCGCTCCTATCAAAAACGGATCTTTGCCCACGTTTAAATTCGTTGAAGCAATATCTAACTGTGGTCGTAGATGGCGAAATGTCTCCATAAACAGTATCCAACTTTGTTTTCATCTCCTCGCATTTTTTCCCATCCAAAAACAAAAAGCGAGTTACCGAACGATACTGCTCTTTTTCCATCTTAGCGAAAATAACGAAGCACGTCTGAGCGGAATGGCTGCCAAATCCAAACTAACCTATCAATTAGTCTGAAATTCGTTTTGGCGTGGTTTGATAGATGGCAGCACACGATGACAACACCAATTTACCTCAGGAACGTCCTCTGTCTTCAAACACGGGTACTTATTGAACCGCCCTCGTATCTCTCTATATAAAAGAGGTTTCCCTATTATATTAAGAACGGGTTGAGCGTAATTCACATTCTAAAGGGTTGAAAAAGGAAAAAATAAAAATTTAAAATAAAGGTCAGTGAGGTGTCATTCGAAAGATACAAAGGAATGACGTATGCTTTCCGATTTTTTATCAGAATTATACCTTTTGAGTTATAAACGGTAATATTCTGCGACGAAGCCGCAGCGGCAACCGCAGGTATGTTAGCCATTGCGTTGTCTTATTAGTTAGGTATTGCTTACACCTGAGCCGTATTAGAACATGCCAGAGTTTTTAGATTGCCTGATATTTATAACGATACCAAGTCGTATAGAAAAGCTTTGTCTTTTGTAGAAAGCTAAACAAGCTTGTTTTACGATTGGATTGTACCTGTAGCTTTCTATCGATGGAAAATGAACAGTGCAACGTGTATAGGTAAGTGTAACGGCAGCGAGTATTACAATTAAGCCATCAATTTCCTACTGCGAGGAAATAAATTTTATGGCCAGTTACGTACTCTAGTTAACATTTATGGAAACACAAACTGTTAGAAATGATGTATTAAAGACTATTCTTCATAATAGTATGATTGAAGGAACTTAAGCAACGACTATTATTCATTAATTAGCGTTAGTGACTTTATTTTATGGTTGTTGATTCAATCGCTACTGATTTGATTTATATAATACACTACGTTTTATCCGTGGCTCCGATGTCCTAAATACGCGTCAAAGGTCATCGACGATCACATGAAACTAATTTTTTCTATCCCTCGGGAACAATATTGTTTTTCTGGATAAAAGATACTCTATGTCCCTTTCCATACCCCTCACAATGTGTGTACAAAATTTTAGGATGATAAGAGTTGAAAAATTAAGTTCTTAAAGGTATCTGCAAAAATTACATATTGGAAAAAAGGACATTAATTTTTAATGTCGTAATGTATAGTCATAGTTAATATGATGTAATTAACTAACACATAAATGGATTATGAGCTTGCTTAATTCCTTTCATCCTCTTTACAAGAGAACAAGCACTTTATGTAATTCCTAATTTTGAGATTAATTCACCAGATTGTTAATAAAACACGCTAATTATCGCAGCAAGCAAATATGATGTCCGGCCGAAAGGAAAAAGCACTTTCTCTTTCAACTGTTCAAAATTGTGAACTACTTTTGTACATATTTAGTGGTAGTAATCCGAATTCAAATGAAAAAGAATTACCTATTAAAATTTATTATTGCTGAACCATTTCCATTTTTAAAAATACGAAAACACAAAGTTTTAACTTTTGAGTTAATTGTTTTATCTAAAAAGTCTCCTGTGTGTCGAAATGATTACTGATGTAGATTACAACTAAATATTTACAATTAATGCTTTCGTATATACAGTGTAAACTCTTTATAACGTCACTCGATTTAACGACAAACTTCTTAAAACGTCGAAATTGCTTGACTTTGGTTGGTTTACATTGTTTTCTATACAATATTACACTCTATATAGCGTCACGCTCACTCTATTTAACGACAACAATGCGGCATTATAAATCATTGAGCAGTACTTTCTAAGTTGCCGAAATAGATAAGAACTGCAGCTGTGTACGTTGTTGAAGAAGACGATCCTGTCCCTCCACCAAGCATCAAACAAGCACTTGATGCAGCGAAACTATTAAAAAAATACTTTTTATATAATCAAATTGATCCAGCAGTATCTCAAGATATGAGTAAGATACGTAACAAAATACAATTAAAATATTGGAGCAGCAAAAAACATCAGACGAAGATAACAGGCTATACGCAATGTATGAATAATAATGTTCGTGTGCAAAATGTGTACTATATTGGTAAATGCATATTATTATAGAATAGTAAAATAATATCTTTTATTTCTCTCCATTTAACGACCACTCTTTATAACGCCGAAAAATGTTCAGTCCCTTAAGTGTCGTTATATAGAGTTTACACTGTATTTTTATCTCTGACTTATCGGAACCAACTATAGTGTGCTAATGTGAACTAATAAGTTAGAAAGAACTCAAGAACTTTAATAATTTTAAGTTTGTTTCAGAAAGAAGAATTGATATGGCTGCGTCTCAATTTCTTGTTCTGCTACAAACAATAAATGGGCTGCACCTAGTTCTTTCACACCACTGGAGCTTTTTAAATGCAAATCCAAACCTACCAGATCCGACAAAATATCACGGTGGAGGTCACAGTTACTTTCCTCAGTCATACTACACCGATTACAGATATCTTCCACCGTAAGTAATGCAAGTTACACATCAAATTCAAAATAATTCACCTAAAGGGTTAAAACCCGTAGTAGATTCACAAGAAAATTAAGTCGCTAAAAGTCTGGTAATAAACAAATTCGCAATAAATAATTATTATCTACCTTTTTCCTACCTATTTGTGACACAAATTAGTCTCGTCGTTTGTTCATACGGAATTAAAATGTACGTATGGGTTTTTGAACCTTTGTAATTTACCGCCACATAAAATGTGAACTAACAAATTGCCAATTTCCGTCTATGCAAATGGCTACACAGCCGGAATGCGATTGTCAAGGTTTCAAAATACGCATACTTAACTAATTTAACTACTTTATAAACTGGACAGTTGACACTTGTTGTTTTTTCTCTAACTGTTACACCGCCTAATGCAATAATTTTCAATAAGGAGTGAAAGAATAATTGTACATGAATTGCTGACATATTTAAAAGAAAAGTAATTGATTGGACTATACTCTACAGTATATATTCACCTACGTTGTTTACATATGAGGTGCCCACAACCATAAATAATCAATGAAAGGATACAGTAGTAATAATATAACAAACGAGGCAGGGGTCATTTTGATTGAAAAATGAAGAGAAACGGCAGATAGGTGGAGAGAATATTTAGAGGACCTATACGACCTATTAGAGAAGGAAGATAGTGTGGCGATAGGTGAGCTAGGTTATCCCATAATGAGAGAAGAGCGATGTAGAATTAAAAAACTTGAAGAATAATAAGGCGACAAGATAGGACACAGGCGGAAATTCTAATACATGTAGGATAACAGGTTAGAGATCGTATGTTTATGCTAATTAGTCACATTTACGAAACGGGGAAAGTCCCAGAGAATTATAAACGAAACGTGGTGGTAGCTATATATATATATATAGGTACGAGACATTTAGAACAATTAACTTAACTTCCCATGCGTCAAAAATCTTAACTAGGATTGTTAAGAGGATGGAAAAAGGACGGAACTATTAGGGGAAGATCAATTTGGGTTTAGAAGAAATAGAGGATATTCTAGCTTTACGGGCAACAATAAAGTAAACGATAGAAAAAGAAAAGAGCGCGTACATAGGATTTGTAGATTTAGAAAAAGCTTTTGACAATGTTAAATGGGACAAGATGTTAAATATACTTAAAAATGTAGAGATGAGTTACAGAGATAGAAGAGTGATACTTAGTTTGTATAATGAGCAACAGGTAGTTATAGAGCTGGAGCTGCAATAGGCGAACAGAGGAAACTACTATGGAAGTTAATAAGTAGAGTAGGGACAGACCTAGATTAGATTACTGTTCGCAACTAGTTAAGGATGTGGGTTGTTCTAGTTTTGGAGAAATGCGAAGATTAGCTCAGGATAAAAAATAAAAGCGAGAAAAATCTCTTCTGTATTATGCTTTATGAATAACTAAAATACAGGAAGCGTTATTAATTTCGAGAAAGAAAAGAAAAACACCTGGATTTATAGGAACAAATAACATTAACCTTATGTATTACATTACTGAGTAAATTATATGTGTTCGAAATGTAAGTAATTTGTATGATAAATAATTATTCACATCGGTTTTCGTCATAGAGCATCTGCTGGAAGAAACAGTTCACTATTCCAGGGTTTTGCTCAAACAACCCAACCCCCACCCGGAGCAACAACTCTCGACCCGAGATCTCAAAATTGTGGCTTGGCACCTGCCCAATGTTTTCCAGCACGGTACAGATCGTACGATGGTTCTTGTAACAATTTGAGGAACCCAGTGTGGGGTACACCACAAACTCGATATGCCAGATTACTACCTCCAATTTACGGAGACGGTAAAATTTTAATTTTTGGTTAATTAAATCTGACGGTAATAGTTTTGGACGATAAAACTGATTTGAAGAATAATGTATAGTTGGGGCGTTCAAGATTGGCAAAGTCGGCAATAATGCTGTCGCATTCTTCTTTCGATTTACTAACTAGATTGGCGTAGATGCTGACAGAATGCCTACTTTTACTCACAAAAGACGTTGCAGGGAATATAAAAGGGATGTCAGGTAAGAATTGTAGCGGACACTAATAAAGAAAAAGGAATAACATTACAACAATTGATGTGTAACAGAAGGAGATACAGACAGGCAGAATTGGAGCATGTTGCCAGCATCGGACTTTAAAGAAAGTTCCACATTTTCAGGAATTTAGGAAAGCGAAGACGCTTGTTTAAGGAGATAGTTCCAACGCGGCAGTTATAAAGCCGACCATGATCTTTTGCGTACCTAAGCAACCTACAGCCGCTGCACCACTTACTATCATTCGGTTATCTCTTTTTACCTTGCTTATGTTACTCATGAAGCATTTCCTAACTTAACAAGGATGTGTTCAAAACGCAGTAAATGTCTACAGTCCCAAGAGGAAAAAAGAAAGAAGATATATGTACTTCGTTTACTTTCTGTAGCGATGTGACCTTCAGTTTGACCGGCACAAAGTAGAAAAGAACAGCACTAGGCCAGAAAAGGAAGGAGACAACTGTCGGGCAAACTTTTAACCGGTGAGGAGCGTATAATCCGTACAGTACTGCACGGAAAAATTGACCATTTTATCCACTACAATTGCATTGCTCAAATGTGGTGTTATTGGTACCATTTACTACTGAAAATATCAACGAGATGTTTATTTATATTTGAAGACATATTAAAGGCTTTAACGATTGTTTTCGACTCGCACTACTATTCATGATTGAACAAAACATTTGGCGGGTACTGTATGAAAAAGTATGTTTAATGAACAAGAGTCGAGAGTATAATGAGCTTTTTTCTCCCTACACACGATTTTGCCAGCGCGCATCCAAGACAATGGAAGGGGCACATCGCTACAGAAAGTAAATGAAGTATACGTCCATTCTGAGATTCTCAGATGATCTATTGTGGACTTTCCCAATTTTGATCGTCCCAACTGTAGAGATCCTAAATTATAAGTCGAAACGCATTTATAAGATGATCCTTTTAAACAATTTTTACTAACCTCTTTAGGAAGAGAATTTTTGCATGCTATTAACTTTCATCATTTATTACTAGAGGTACCAGGAATATATATTTTAGATTTCGAAACTTCCTTCAATATTATTCAACCGTTCGAAACTTACGAGGTGTATGTATTTCAAATAATAATGATAAAAGTATTAAAAAGCTTTTCAACTCTACAAGTACATTGGTTTCTTATGCGTTAAGAATTCTTTAATAGGAATCAGCACCCCAACGTTATCAAGAAGCGGAAGAATGCTTCCAGGCAGCCGCGAACTGAGTTTGGATCTTCACCCCGACGTTCCTGTGCGAGACCCCAGATTTACGTTAGCAGCCATGCAATACGGGCAAATAATAACCCATGACATGAGTATGATCGCGGGTAGCACACAAGCCCGTAAGTATAAATACACTTTAAAGTTCATAGTAAATGTATCAAAAAATATTATACACACAAAAATAAAAATTTAAAACCAATATTTGAGAATGATGATTTTTTCAAAATTAAATTACTTTCAAATCAAATAATAAATCCACATTTCATCATATGTAAAATTTTTACAATGGAAACAATTAGGATTGTTTCTTTCTCCTTTCGCTAGTTACTTTGGTTGACATCCTCAGTGAACGTACTGATGGTGTTAAGTCTTTTTCAGTCTCAATTTTAGTCTTAGTATAACAACAGCGAAGAATATTAAGCCCTCGCTGCGCCCCATGACGATGTAAGTTAATCATTCCTGTCGGTATTCTCCCCGAAGGAAAAATAATCCTAGACCACAGTTATCAAATCCGAAGTCTACGCCCCGGTTGCTTTCCCTGTGGATGTCAATCACACACCTAACCACAGAAGTTGACTAAACGTCGGAAAAAACATTCTTATCAGTGTTTTCATCATTAAACCCGAAAATCAAGATCATTTTTCGGATGATACAAGCTAAGCTTTATTTCCTTCTTTTTTAAATAAATACCAAGAATATTGACGCTTCCGAATTGAAAGTATAATAGATTACCACCCATAATACATAGTAAAACGTGTTTAATTCTCGAAGGATCTTTACGAACCAATTTTGGAGTTGATATTTCTAAAGAACGTTTTTGCCTTAGAGCCTCATTCGACAAGATGTTGTTCAGATGACGGTCGTCTTCTGGAGTTAGCAAATATCCCAGAACACTGTTATCCAATAGTTCTCCCTGATAACGATCCTGTTTATGGGAGAACCAACACTAGATGCATGAACTTTGTGAGGACAATTACAGACAGAGATAGAAATTGTGTGGGAGGCTATCAACCAGCCGAGCAAGTCAGTTCAAAATGTCCATTTTTACATTATTTTATGCATTTGTATGCACTCAAAATATTATATTTATAGTTGACCGCGGTGAATCATTACCTAGACCTTTCAATCACCTACGGTAATAATGACCAAGATGCACAAGGTTTACGAGAAGGGACCGGGGGGAGGTTACGAATTGAAAGGAGAAATGGGCAAACTTGGCCGCCCCAAACGGATAATGTGACAGGAATTTGCGATGCCGACGATGCAACTGAACCTTGCTATCAAGCTGGTAAAAGATATTATGTTGTTACATATAAGTTTTATAATTGTTTCAAAATAAATAATTACATTAATGTGTTAAGTCCGCAAAGCATGCAGATTTGACTTGAATTCTTTTTGTTTCACTGTGTGAAGGCTGGGATAATGTTGGGAAGGTTTTCCCGATTAAATAGCAAATATAGAGAGTCTTTCCAACCATTACCTAATCTTCAAAAAGTTCATAAGTCTAGTCTACTAATATTCGACCTTTGTAAACTCTAACCAGCAACAGAATTGCCTAATATAAGAATTACACCAGTTTACGTAAAAGTAATTGTTCAAACGTTTAAAATTTATAAAACGAAAGGTTAAGTTCATTGACCTTCTCACTAAAAAGGGCTGGAAAACTAGTATCATTTTGAAAAAACTGTACGTAAACTTGAGGGTCATTGACCTTTACATAAAATCTTAATTTTCAGTTGTAGAAATGAATAATTAATTAAGTATTAGCTGGGCCATTATTAATGTTTATATCGTATTTGCATCATTAAATCAACCATCCAACTACCTTCTATTTAAAAGTAAAATCTTTATATAACCTATAATATTTATATTCGCAGTTTAATATTCCGAGTAATAGAATTATAACGTACAGTTATGGGCGATTTTACTTATTACAATATAAGAAATTTAAAAATGGAATCTCACCTACGTTGTAGTGCATATAACAGCTAATCTATTTAACACTATTGTCTGTTGTTTAACGAAATGCGTAGAATAATATAAAATTAACACTACCATTAAATATTCGACACAACCGCGAAACCCTACCGAACCGTTCGCGTACATCACTCGAAATGTCGTTGACCAGTTGGTGACGAGCTATTAATACACAATTTTTACCGGCATGTTTTGTGATTGGTTGCAAATCTCACCGTCGATTAACAACCAATCATATAGCCAATGTAATAATTTTAGGATGAGCCGCGAAATTTAAAAAACTTCAGACTCCTAAGCGGTTTATTTAGAGTATTTTAAACAAACTATCGTCATCTTCTGTAATAGGCACTTGTTTGTAGGTGACGCAAGAGTAAATCAAAACCCTCAGTTGACGATTTTACAAATAATATTTTTGAGAGAACACAATAGACTAGCAGATGCACTGGCCACTTTAAACCCACAATGGGACGATGAAAGGATTTTTCAAGAGGCAAGACAAATTAATATCGGCCAACACCAACAGATTACTTACTACGAGTGGCTGCCCCTTTTCTTGGGTTTGGAAAATACCATACAACACAAAATCGTTTACCCAGGAGCTAAAGGGTTTGTTAATGATTACGACGAGTCTATAAACCCTTCAGTTCTTAACGAACATGCCACTGCAGCTTTCAGATATTTTCATACCCTTATTGCAGGATATCTTGAGTAAGCAGGAAATAAATACTTTTATTGGTCATTTAGTACCTCCATCGAACTTTTTTGAGTATATGGTTCATGTAATTCTCAAGTATTATTTACTCAAAAACTATAAAATAACCGATAAAAAGTTAATCCTTTTTTTTATACATCATAGGAATACACAAACTGAGAAGTGAACCTTTTATTCTAAATTTAACATTAGTTATTGTTTAATTGAAACTTACGTGTGCTTCTAGTTTATTAACTGAAACAAGAAATGGTTATGGTAATATCCGATTAAGTGATTGGTTCAATAGACCACTTGTTCTTGAGGGTGGAAATGTATTTGATGATCTGACCAGGGGAATGGCAACTCAGCCTGAGCTGAAAGCAGATCCTTTTATGGATAGCGAAGTGAGTGTACTTTTTCAGGCCCAGCAAAACATAAATGAGATTACTAAAGAGAGTAATTTAAGGTAACCCAATTCTTGTTCAGAATGAGGCAACAATTTGGCAGTGACCTGAGGGCCATTGATATTCACAGAAACAGAGATCATGGTCTTGCTTCATACAATGATTACAGGTCGTTGTGTGGGTTGCCGAAAGTGCGTAATTTTGATGGTTTTCTGGATGCAATACCAGCTGAGGTAAACAACAATTGACCTAAATTACAAATTATGTGGGGCTTTTGGAAAAAAGCTTCCTGTATTATTTGGATTGTATTTATTATTTTCATTTTTAGCACGTGCAAAAGCTTGCAACGTTTTACGAAACTCCTGACGATGTAGATTTAACAGTTGGTGCATTTTTGGAAACCCACGTCCCTGGAACCCTTGCAGGTCCAACGTTTCTTTGCATTTTAGTCGAACAATTCTACAGGACACGAAAAGGTGACCGATATTTCTACGAAAATGGGGACATTAATATGGGTTTTACAGAAGGTAAGAAGTGCCACACAATTTGTCAGTATCTACTTTATTCGTATTTTACTTTAGCTCAATTAAATGAAATAAGGAAAGCCAGCATATCAAGATTGTTCTGTGATAATGGAAGAGACATAAGGAGTATGCAGCCAAGGGGCTTTGAGAGAGTTTCGGACAAGTAAGCATTGTTTTTATCTTTTAATTATAGTTATGGCGGACTAAGGGTAGGGCGGAGCGAGCGGGTCCTTTCGGGTTCCCTTGCTCTCTTCAGAACATCCACACATCTAAAAAATGTGTAGGTATACTTCGTTTACTTTCTGTAGCGATGTGACCTTCAGTTTGACCGGCGCAAAGTAGAAAAGAACAGCACTAGGACAGAAAAGGAAAGAGACAACTCTCAGCCAAACTCTTAATCGGTAAGGAGTGTATAATCCGTACAGTACTGCACGGAAAAATTGACCATTTTATCCATTACAATTGCATTGCTTAAATGTGCTGTTATTGGTACCATTTACTACTGAAAATATCAACGAGATGTTTATTTATATTTGAAAACATATTAAAGGCTTTAACGATTGTTTTCGACTCGCACTACTATTCATGATTTAACAAAACATTTGGCGGGTACTGTATGAAAAAGTATGTTTAATGAACAAAAGTCGAGAGTATAATGAGCTTCTTTTCCCTACCTACGATTTTGCCAGCTCGCATCCAAGACATTGGAAGGGGCACATCGCTAGAGAAAGTAAATGAAGTATACTATCACTATCATTTCATTTGTATGTCCCGGGTCGCCGATGGTATAGTCCGTCATTGCAGACCTCATGGTAATGATGATTTTTTGTCCTGAGGATTTTGGACATTGAGGATTGGAGTGTTTTCGGTAATAATTAACAACTTCACTATCTTTCAGGAACCCAATTGTACCATGTGACACTTTACCAGCCATTGATCTTAGTTTATGGAAAGACGGGGCCAGTTCGAGGTCATTCTTGGACATCGACTTCCCGTTTATTTCAAAAAAATAGTCCATTGTTAATTTTAAGAATGTAAACTATTGATACGATGGAGCGTATCTACGTCGATATTTTATTTTCTTGCCTTATCATTAGTTATTTTGTATTGTTGTATGTAGTAAGTTTGAATGTAATATGAGAATACATAAGCATATGGTACAAATCTCACTCGCAATGTTCGTAATATTGCATGCTCTCTTGTGCTCCTGTATTTTTTTAAGTAATTTTTACTATAATAAAATTTTCCAATGACAGTATACATTGTTTTTTTTCTACTTTAGCAATAAACTTGCATTATTGTGTTTTATCTGAAAAACTATAAAGTTATAGACGATGAATAAGGTGCCGCGTATTGGATCGTCGCAAGAAGTGAAACCGAATATCGAGCGTCCGACATTGCCTGCCATCTCTTGGAAACAATTGGAATATTTTAGACTTTTTATAAAGTGATCTTAAACTTTGTTGTTGTTGTTTCTCTCAAAACCTACCAATTTCATCGTTTCTTCTTTTTCTAATTAATAAGAACCTTCGATAGTTATCATGAAATGATGTTAAGTTAATTAACTTTTCTATTACATTTATTTATCATCAATTCCTTTTTTAATGAAAAATAAACCAAAAAAGATTTATTTGAGTGGTGAAACATTTAAAAAAGCAACAAAACCTAAATTCGAATTAACTATAGTAAAAAGTTCATCTTCCAAACAAGTTCAAAAGTTGAGTTAGCTGAGACCATCGGTTAATTTTTCTTGTTAAGGGTACAGCCCATGTAAGATCAGCTGGGTCCATTTCCCTTCCATTTAAACACACGGTAACACAAAGGTTCGTGTCAATTTTAATAGAAGATACTATTTGGGGTATATCAAAGTTACCAACAGTATAAAACATTAAATAATCTTGACCATTTTGAATTTTCCACTCGCCAAGTACATTTTTTAATTTCACCTCGAAGACTTGCTTTACGTAGTAATAATCGATTAAAAAGTCGTTAATATCGACTCCTTCGACGTCCCCGAAAGTTTCCGGACTATGATCTCTGTAAGACAGCTCGAAAACGTCACGGAATTTGAAAACTTCTTCTGACGGTTCCGAGGTGTTTATTAAGTTGTCAAATTTCGACGGAAGTGCACCATGTTTGATAAGAGGTGTTGAAGATCTAGTGATAACGGATTTGCCAGAGGTACCGTTCAAGAGTTTGGTGTACATTGCCAGATCACTATTTTTGAAATGGTGTACGCATATAATGGTACCGTAATCTATAACCCAATTTTTTACCGGGATCGCTTTTATCCATCTCGTTCGCCATTCCACGTCAAGGGGGAATCGAAGAAATTTGTCAAGGGTATCATACGTTGGACAATTGGGGATGCAACAGTAGTGCTTAGTCTGGAAATTAAAAAGTCTATTGGTTTATTGGATTCAGTTCCAAATAAATTTTACGTGTAAGTTAAAGAAGAAAGAAAGAAGTACCAGTGAAGTCTATTTGAAGGAACCAATTATGAAATTTTGCGGTCCTTTGAGTTATGCAGATGAAGGTAAATAGTCATTGAAAATGTCGACAGTGATCATAATAATTTTTAATCAATCGTAACGTGATTTTAATGAATACATTTTCCGTGAAGCATTTACTTCATCTGTTTATTAATCAAGAACAATTATTGGCAGTTATCAAGGTTTCACTGCCAATGTCTAACAGTAAGAAAAGTTACGAAACGTTTGGTACTGATATCAAAACGTCACAGCGAAGTCAAACGCATGAGTTACTTCCGGCGACCTTTACCCCTACTAATGGATCATACCACCGGCCATGACACTTCTAAGTAGTATATATACATAATACACAAACACATACGGCTGAAGAGGACCTTAAGTGGTCCTAGAACGGCCTGAGGTAGAGGGGTTTTAGTCGGTAGGTCCGGGGACCTTAAGTGGTCCTAGAACGGCCTGAGGTAGAGGGGTGTTAGTCGGTACGTTCGGGGACACCTTCCTCGATAATCCAACACTTCCCAGTCGTACGAACGGTTAGGTGTCTTTTGGAAGATTTCCCTTCTTCCACGAAAACAAAACAAAAAAAAACGAGCGACATGACCTAGAGGTTTAGATCGTTGCTTAGCATTCGGGAGGACGCTGGTTCAATTCCGGGTCCGTCTGCCTTGGTCCAAGTTTTTCTGTGGTTTTCTTGTATCACCTAGCCAAATGCTAGGACATAATATTCCACAGATACTCTTCCATTCCCTTCTGTCTTCATTTCGTCCGTCTCATCTTTCTTACCCGAACCACCACCCACCCATTCCCACGATTCCTGAAAGCAGGCTGAAGAGGGCCTTCCGCCCTACCTTCCAGCATAGTCCGGAGGGACAGACTGCTCACCAGCCTTAGTGGCTGGTGGGAATGAAACCCCAAAAAGTTTTTTTTCTAGTTCATTTAACAGTCCACTCAAACAAACCTATGTCAGTTGTTCATTTGCTATCATTAGTGTATAATAGTTAAAATATCAAGTGTAATAAAGTTTCCTGAAAACTGAACCAAATAAATGTGTTAAAATAGTGTTTTTAAAAAACACACTCGAACATTGTTCGTTTTAACTCATGCCCTGAAAGCTAACTTAGTAAATTAACAATCAGGCAGAAAAGACAGATATTAGTACATCTATAAATATATCGATGGAATAATTTTTCGAAATTGCACTGATTTATTTTTGTATAACATAATTCAAAATGGCTCAAAAGCCATTTATACTTTTATAAATAAAGAATCAGAGCCAATGGGGTGAAAGTTTCTATTTATTGATACCACACCGTTTCGCTTATAGGTCTTCGTTTCTAGGTCAGTTAAGTAGATAGCAGAAGTTTAGCCTATATAATGCTGTAAGGTTGGTGAACACCCACGGACACATTGTAATTAAAAAATTAAAAGTACAATTAAAACGACGCACAATATAAATAAAATAATAAATTAAGTGACTAATTTAAACACGATGTGGAATATATTTATATTACTGTTTATAATAATTATAAAACGATTAGCTTACCTTCATCTTCTTCATCAAGTTATTTATTTATTTTACGTTAAAATATTATAATTCTTATTGAAGTTTTATACTTATTTGACGTATTCTATTTGTTAATAAAACATAAATAAATGAATATCGTGAATTGTGTTGCAAAGCATACTTTAAAATGCGTGTATTCTATTGTTTTTTATTATTTCTATTTCGTATGAGTACATATATATAGTTTTAAAGTCAAAAACTAAAATAAATTTATTCTTAACTAATAACGGCCAATAAATTGAGATTTTTAATGGCTACCTCCTAATAAGACCATTTTTATGTATTTCGATACAGTAGTATTTCATTGACCTATTGAAGCTAACGAATAACGGATTTCGCAAATACATCCACAGATATTGTACGTACAAAACTGCTTTTATCTGTTAGAAAATTGCATTTACATGCATTAAAGCATCTAATATTTTACAATATGTGTATAAACTTCAAGTAGGTACAAAGTACTGTATTATCTCAAGGATATAATGACTCTTATAAACGGTTGTCGTCTTCTATTTTTAATCGAGATTAGAAAAGTAGTAGTAGAGTAGGTAACGTTGCCCAGTTCACGATGTTCACACTCAACTTTTAGTAACAGTATCGTTGCGGTTTCATTTGAATTCAGGTGCAAGTGTTTGAGAATAATAATCAGAAATGTCGACATCTCTTCCAACATTATACGAACATTACACCTCTGGTGGTATAGTCGAAGGTCTGAATGCAAATCAGACGTATTTTACGTTGAATCAGAAAAACATCACGCTTTTCAGCGGAGCGTTGCATTATTTTCGTGTTCCACAACAGTACTGGCGGGACAGACTGAAGAAAATGAGAGCTGCGGGATTAAATGCTGTGGATACGAATGTACCTTGGAATCTTCACGAGCCACAGCCAGGTGTGTTTGATTTCGGGGATGGTGGCACCGATTTCCAAGAAATGCTAAATTTGGAAAAGTTTCTGAAGACCGCTCAAGAAGAAGACTTGTTAGCCATAGTTCGACCAGGTCCGTATATTTGTTCTGAGCATGAATTCGGAGGTTTACCAAGTTGGCTTCTTCGAGATACTGGGCTAAGAATTCGTACTTCTGACGCCACTTTCATGAGATATGTCAAAAGATTTTTCGATGCTTTACTACCGATTTTAGTAGCTTTGCAATTTACCAGAGGAGGTCCCATCGTAGCATTCCAGATTGAAAACGAATACGGCAACACAAACAGTGATGATAGAGACTATATGAACGCACTTAAAGACATGTTTGAAGCCAGTGGTTTAGTTGAGTTATTGTTTACGTCCGACACGCCTACTTATGGTACTTCCGGGGCATTACCTGGTGTACTTTACACTGCAAATTTTCAAAATAACTCGCTCAGAGAACTTCAAACTCTACAGTCCTATCAACCTGACAAACCTCTTTTGGTAATGGAGTATTGGAGCGGTTGGTACGATCACTGGACCGAGGATCATCATAGCATTCCCATCGAGTATTTTTCCTACGTTTTGGAAACAATTTTATCTTTCCCGGCTTCCGTTAATTTTTACATGTTTCACGGTGGAACGTCTTGGGGATTTTTGAATGGAGCCAATCTCGAAGACTTTACCACCACAAATAATAGTAAATTGCAACCTGACATTAGCAGTTATGATTACAATTCACCTTTATCGGAACCAGGTGATTACACTGATAAGTACTACAGTCTGAAATCTCTCATAGAAAGTTACACAGTAACTAAAACCCTTATCCCAGAAATGCCCAATGAAACTATAAGAGTTGCTTATGATGCAATAGAAGTAACCCAGCAATTACCACTTATAAATCTCATCGAAAATAATGCAGAACATATTATAGACAGTACATATCCCATTGCTATGGAACTGTTACCTATTAACAATAATTCTGGACAGAGTTACGGCTACATAGTGTACAGGAAAGAAGGGATAAATATTCCTGCGAACTCTGTGCTGGCAATTGAGGGCCACGTTTGCGATACGGTCATGGTTCTTATCAATGGACAATTGGTTTCTAAGGTGCTCACTCAGGTAGACGATCTTGATGGTTTCGGTTATTGGAGATTACCAAATCCTTCTCTAAATTTGGGTAGCAGTAGCTATACGAATGCTACACTGGATTTGTTGGTGGAAAATTGGGGTCGTGTAAATTATGGTTATTTGAACCAGTTTAACCAATTTAAGGGCTTGTGGCAAGGAAACGTAACATTAAACAATGTAGTATTGACCAATTGGAAGATAATTCCATTAGAGTTCAAAAAACAATGGACGAATAATTTGAGCGGATGGCGAACTCCTAATTTTGAAACCGGACCGTCGTTGTACAAAGGGATTTTGAATGTTGACAGTCCTTCTGATACCTTCATTGATATGAGGAATTGGACGAAAGGGATCGTGATCCTTAACGGATTTGTTTTATCGCGTCATTTTAGAATAGGACCCCAGCAAACAGCTTACGCACCAGCTCCATTCTTTGTAACAGGAAATAATGAAATTGTTATATTTGAACATTTCGTTCCAGCAAGGCATATTCCCTTTTCTAAAGATATCATTTTCGAAACTGTTTCGATAATTGATTCGAACACCAGTTCGGCATCAAAACTTATCGGAAATGTTCAATTCGATCTTATATTATTGTTTTTGTTTATGGTAACTTTGCTAGGACACTTAAATCCTTAGATTAGATTAGATTATAATTCAAAATCGCAAGCATTCTATCTGTTTGCAATATTATCGTAACAAATAAAATCAAGTAGGTACTTATGGCAAATAAATTTTATCAGTATTGCATTTGATGGATGTCATACTCATTTTTTTGTAGTGGTAATAAATTTATTGAAATTGCAGTTAATATGATATTGTTCTAATGCATTTTTTATTTTTACTGTTTTACCGAGAATCACTTAAAATAAACTGATTATGCTTTTGTCGCTATTTTATTTCAACAGGTGATTAAGTAGAACTGTCATAAATTTATCGATTTGGTTTAGGCGGTAACGAAAGTGACAATGGCAGGAAGTTTGTGGCATATTCTACTAGCCAAAAATAATAGAGTCGCAATTTATTCAGCCCGTGTTTTGAATATTAAATAAGTAATAATATATTATCATCTAAATAGTTTTTTTAATGAATTGAACGCATGTTAGCTTCATTAAGAGTTTTTCGGGTTAAATTTCTGATGTTACATAATCATAACATCGTCAGTCCTAAGACTGGTTGGACACGCACCTCCACCCTCTTCTATCCTAAGCTAATCTTCGCATTTCCCCAAAACTATTTGCGAACAGTTATCTAATCTAGTTCTACTTCTACTTCTCATAACTCCAATTTTTGCCTCTAATATGTCACTGGCTACACCTTCTTGTCTACCAACCTATTGCGCCGATTTCTTATTGATTTCCATGGAGTCCTCTGTTCTCCTATTCTTTCTAATATCGCTTCATTTCTAACCTTCTCTATTCACGGTATCCTCACATTCGCCTGCAACACTATATTTCGAACGCTTCTAACATTTTATTTTTCGAACTTCTGAATTAACCTTTGGCGATCATAGAAGCGACTTCTGTTTATTGAAGGCGACTCGACCCTGCGCTATCCTCTGCTTTATATCCCTACTACTCCTTCCGTCCTGACTTATCTGACTTCCTAGATAGCTAAAATCAGCCACTTCTTCTAATTTCTCTTCTCCTATTTTTACATTCCCCATTCATCCCTTGCATACCAGTATTTGTGTTTTACTTTTATTTATTTTCATACAATACAGTTTTGTCAATACCGCTTCCATTTTATTTATAGCTATCTCCAACTCNTCCTACGTTTTGGAAACAATTTTATCTTTCCCGGCTTCCGTTAATTTTTACATGTTTCACGGTGGAACGTCTTGGGGATTTTTGAATGGAGCCAATCTCGAAGACTTTACCACCACAAATAATAGTAAATTGCAACCTGACATTAGCAGTTATGATTACAATTCACCTTTATCGGAACCAGGTGATTACACTGATAAGTACTACAGTCTGAAATCTCTCATAGAAAGTTACACAGTAACTAAAACCCTTATCCCAGAAATGCCCAATGAAACTATAAGAGTTGCTTATGATGCAATAGAAGTAACCCAGCAATTGCCACTTATAAATCTCATCGAAAATAATGCAGAACATATTATAGACAGTACATATCCCATTGCTATGGAACTGTTACCTATTAACAATAATTCTGGACAGAGTTACGGCTACATAGTGTACAGGAAAGAAGGGATAAATATTCCTGCGAACTCTGTGCTGGCAATTGAGGGCCACGTTTGCGATACGGTCATGGTTCTTATCAATGGACAATTGGTTTCTAAGGTGCTCACTCAGGTAGACGATCTTGATGGTTTCGGTTATTGGAGATTACCAAATCCTTCTCTAAATTTGGGTAGCAGTAGCTATACGAATGCTACACTGGATTTGTTGGTGGAAAATTGGGGTCGTGTAAATTATGGTTATTTGAACCAGTTTAACCAATTTAAGGGCTTGTGGCAAGGAAACGTAACATTAAACAATGTAGTATTGACCAATTGGAAGATAATTCCATTAGAGTTCAAAAAACAATGGACGAATAATTTGAGCGGATGGCGAACTCCTAATTTTGAAACCGGACCGTCGTTGTACAAAGGGATTTTGAATGTTGACAGTCCTTCTGATACCTTCATTGATATGAGGAATTGGACGAAAGGGATCGTGATCCTTAACGGATTTGTTTTATCGCGTCATTTTAGAATAGGACCCCAGCAAACAGCTTACGCACCAGCTCCATTCTTTGTAACAGGAAATAATGAAATTGTTATATTTGAACATTTCGTTCCAGCAAGGCATATTCCCTTTTCTAAAGATATCATTTTCGAAACTGTTTCGATAATTGATTCGAACACCAGTTCGGCATCAAAACTTATCGGAAATGTTCAATTCGATCTTATATTATTGTTTTTGTTTATGGCAACTTTGCTAGGACACTTAAATCCTTAGATTAGATTAGATTATAATTCAAAATCGCAAGCATTCTATCTGTTTGCAATATTATCGTAACAAATAAAATCAAGTAGGTACTTATGGCAAATAAATTTTATCAGTATTGCATTTGATGGATGTCATACTCATTTTTTTGTAGTGGTAATAAATTTATTGAAATTGCAGTTAATATGATATTGTTTTAATGCATTTTTTATTTTTACTGTTTTACCGAGAATCACTTAAAATAAACTGATTATGCTTTTGTCGCTATTTTATTTCAACAGGTGATTAAGTAGAACTGTCATAAATTTATCGATTTGGTTTAGGCGGTAACGAAAGTGACAATGGCAGGAAGTTTGTGGCATATTCTACTAGCCAAAAATAATAGAGTCGCAATTTATTCAGCCCGTGTTTTGAATATTAAATAAGTAATAATATATTATCATCTAAATAGTTTTTTTAATGAATTGAACGCATGTTAGCTTCATTAAGAGTTTTTCGGGTTAAATTTCTGATGTTACATAATCATAACATCGTCAGTCCTAAGACTGGTTGGACACGCACCTCCACCCTCTTCTATCCTAAGCTAATCTTCGCATTTCCCCAAAACTATTTGCGAACAGTTATCTAATCTAGTTCTACTTCTACTTCTCATAACTCCAATTTTTGCCTCTAATATGTCACTGGCTACACCTTCTTGTCTACCAACCTATTGCGCCGATTTCTTATTGATTTCCATGGAGTCCTCTGTTCTCCTATTCTTTCTAATATCGCTTCATTTCTAACCTTCTCTATTCACGGTATCCTCACATTCGCCTGCAACACTATATTTCGAACGCTTCTAACATTTTATTTTTCGAACTTCTGAATTAACCTTTGGCGATCATAGAAGCGACTTCTGTTTATTGAAGGCGACTCGACCCTGTGCTATCTTCTCTTATCCTTACTATTCCTTCCGTACATAATTATTAAACTTGAACGTTTAGTGATAAGGAAAGGATTGATTGATTAATTTTGTTTAACAGAACAACTTATTTCTATTTTACTGTTGCTAATTTTATAATTATGAAAGAGGTATTCAAATGGAAAAGAAAGGCATTAAATACGTATATGTATATTAACGTTTGTTTATATGATTGTGTTTTTCTGGGGGACTGCAAAAGGCGGTACTGGAGAGCAAAGCGCTGTTATCCTGTCTGTTATTGCCTTTAGACAATTAGGCATTGCTGTGGAATTCTTTATTGCCATTCTTTCTAAAATAGGACGATTGTATATCTTTTGTGCTTCTTCCCTTTGTTCCTTTGTGATTCCTCTGTCGTCTAAATAAATTAAATTTGGAAACAATGATATTACGAAGTATCTGAAAAAATAGCTTCATTAAATTATAGAAAATGCAAACGTAAAACTAGGATTATTCATTGTCTAAAAACAAAAACCGTTGTAATTGTGGCTGCAGATTGAAATTTACAGATTTACTATAATTTATTTATTTGATATTGTCAAATAAAAATTTACCTGTATTCTAAATATTCTTGAACACTTCCGCCATTGAGATATGAAGGAGCAGCGGGATTTCCCATAAGGGATAAATGTAGTAAATTGGGGCAAGAGTTTTGTAATCTTTTAGCCCAGGGATACAACCCATTTATCTGCGAATGATAATGCATTTATCAATCTAAAGGACTGATTAAATATGAACTTGGTTCTATTTATTTATTAATTAGTTACAGTGCAATAACCAGCTGATTTATTTTTTTTTCTATTCATTAGTTATTTTGAGTACCTTACAATAATTTAACCATAAAAACCTCAATTTGGGCATGAACGGGATATACGTGTTCGAGGTAATTTTGTTGTGATCACAGATGAAAGTTTCCAAGTTTTTGAACTCGCTGAGAAAATTCAAATTGCTGAAAATACGTTAAAATATTTTTACTATTGGAACATCCTATATGGCATAGGTACTTTTTCTTTTATTTTAGGTACTGTATATTTTGAGATCGTACAGATACTCACTCAAAATTGTTGTAACTTAAGTCTAAAATTCTTATTTGTTGCGCCATGCAGTTCAATATGACATTAGGAATTCTACTTAGATTTTCATAAGCTAATGAAAGACGAAACTGATTTTCTCCTTTGCAATCGCTACATTTTGCTTCAGAGTAACCTGTAAAAATCTCTATCATTAAAATTAGATTACAAACAGTGTGCCTTCTAAAAGGGCGGAAGGTCGTGAAGGAGTATGGATGTGATTCGTTGTTATCTTGAACTGTGGAAGACAGGAAGAGGAGGAAAAAAAAAAGAAAAGCGTGCAGTTCGGAGCAAGAAAATAAGGAACTGAAAAGAAAAAATACAGAAAAACTTGATAGAGAAATGGATGTGCTAGAAGTAATAAAGGAAGAGAACAAGGAAAAATGGACAGAAAATAATAAAAATAAGAGAAAAGAAGAAGAAAAATTGGAACAAACACTAGATAAAATTCAGGAAGAAAATAAACGTATAAAGGAAAAGTTGAAAGAACTGGAGAAAGAGACAAGTGGAAAATTACAGAAACTGGAAGAAAGACTGGATAAATAAAACGAAGAAAGCGGTAGAGAATGGTTTAAATCAGGACCAGAACAACTTAAAAGAAGAAGTCAAAGAAATGGTACTAGAGAGAAGCTGGTGATAGAAAATCATGTGGATAAACATGCAGAAGAACAAAAGAAAAGAATAAAGAGAATGGAAATGGATCTGGAAAAGATACGAAGGGAAAAAAATGGAATACAGTTTGAGGAGAACGAAGGAAAGAGGGAGTTGAAAAAAACTTATAAAAGAGAAGATGAGGTTAAAGGTGGAAGTAAAGGAAGTATGGAAAGCTAAGAGGAAGATACATATGTAGGGTAAAAAGTGGAAAGAATGTGACTATGAAAGAGAGAAAAATATGGAAGACAAATGGTAAAAGTGGATAGAAATAAAAAATGTGGATAAGACGGTTAAAGTTGGGTACAAGAAGATAATAATAAATAAGGTAGTTTGGATATGGAAAGAGGAAAAAGAAGAAGTAACAAAAAAATGATGAAAACGAACATTTCGTAGGGAATAAGAAGGTGCAGAAGACGTTGTTGTGGTGAGGGAAACAGGGTACAAGGTTAGAAGGTTGGATGAAAATAGAAGAATATGAGTATAAAGATGGTATAAAAAGCATTGGATATAAAATATTGGAATAGTATTTACTGCGAGTTTTACTCTGAAGGTTGTTTTATTTTATATTATTGCTGTAGGAATGTAAAAATGACTTAACATTTACAGTAAAGTGACTACAATTACGGTGTGCTTTAAGAAATAGCGTCAGTTACGAGTTCGAATGGTTAAAACGTCTCTATTTATCTTAAACAATTTTTATTACCTTTTAATTTTGTGTAGACTAGTATAAAGCATCCACCTCTTCCTAATAGTAATAAATAAAAATAACTTACTGAGTAGCAAAAGTGCATTTAAAGATGTCATTGTATTGGAACCATTTTCATCAGTGAAATCCTCTGCCGACAATAATGAAGGTAAATTATTTAGGTCGATTACTTCATAATTATTTTCGTCTTCTCTTGACCTATAATAATTTACGTCAATATTTGTTATTATAAACAAATACAAAAAACGAAGACACGTTTGACATTCTTTTGGCAAAACCATTCGCAACATTTGACAATAAGAACAAAATCACATATTTATAAATCACAAATTGGCTTGTTTTTACCACAATTACTTACTTGAAACTCATTTGAAAAAGTATCACAAACTTTTTTTTTTTTGAATAATGACTACATTAGATTTATTTCAGTAACTAAACGAGAATGAAGAACATCAATTTGTTATCAAACCAATGCGATAATATAGTTGTATACAATTAATGTGAAGAGTTTTGAAAGTTCAATGTTATCTTCCAAACACGAGTATTTACTTTGTATATTGGCATAAAACATATCTACTATTACGTTACAATAACTACGGTGCATGTACAAAAGGAATCAAGCATGCATTTATGTATATAAGTACATAGATAAACTGAAGAATTAGGATATCGAATGTTTTTAATGAAATTTGTCGTTGACAGACTTGAAATTCATTAGATAAATATGTTATTCATTATTATGATAATCATCACAAGATCGACAGTACTAAAACTGGTTGGACACAGATTCACTCATTCTTCTTCTGAGATAATCTCCGAATTTCCTGGACATCTCACATTCTTAACTATTTTTAAACAGTAATTTAATACCGGTCTACTTCTACCACTCTTAACGCCTGTTTGTGCTTCTAATATATCTCTGACTAGACCTTCAGCCTGAGAAGGTGTCTTACCAACCTTATTGACTTCTCTATCTACGGTATCCTTTTCTTTTCTGCCGCGCTCAGTACAATATTCCAGATACACTTTTAACAATCTTTTTGGAATTTCTAAATTGTTCGCGACTTATTTTTGTTACAGACGACTCAACCCTACACTATTCTCTGTTTTATATCCTTACGGCTCCTTCAAAACCTAAGTGATCTGACTTCCTAGACACCGAAAAGCAGCCACTTTTTCTAATTTTTTGTCTTCTACCTTAATATTCACTTTTTCCCTACTTTTTTTTCCCNGTTTTTTTGCGTTCAAGATACGTCTCGATTTCCTGAAAACAACCCTTTATATCGCCTTCTGAAATATTAATACATCAGGTGCCCTTTGGGTTAATATATTAGGGTGTCCTTTACGGTGACTTTAAACAAACCTTGCCACTATTTTGTGTCTTCTTCGTTCTCATATACAATGAGTGAGGTAGGCGCTTCTGATAACTTCGATTTTTGTAAATTTAGACCCTAGTTAGAATTGAAAACCTGATATGTAAATTTAAACTCTTCTGTGAATTAAAGAGTTGATTTGGGAATTCATTTTTTCTGGACACTTTGTTCCTTGGGGAACCAGAATTTAGTCCCTCCAGTACTTTTTGCAGAATTTCCTTAGCATGTTTTTTGAATTATTTAAAACTTCATTACCTTTGACATTTATTGAGCGTAGTAAAATTAATTACACTCATTTCAAAGGACTGCTAATAACTGAAACGTGAATTTTATTGAAAATACCAATAATTTCTATGCCAATAAATGCCAACTTGCATATTTTTAGAATCAAAGGTTGGCACCTCCGACATTTGTAATAATTTCTTTGGCATCATTAAGATCAACTATAGAAAAATGATAATATCAATCCTACTTACCTCAACAATCAGAGCAAACACCTACCTCTACCCATCCTAACTCCCATTTCTGCCTCAAATATGTCTCTGCCTGAGAAGGTGTCCTACCAACCTATCTCTCTAATTTCTTATGGCTTCCATATAGTCCTGCGTTCTCCTATTCTTTCTAATATCCCTTCATTTCTAACCTTCTCTGTCCACGGTATCCTCATTATTCGCGTGTAACACCACATTTCGAACGCTTCTAACCTTTTCTTTTCGCGCCCACCGTCCGTGTTTCGATACCGTACAGCGCCGCGATAAATTAATCGTTCGCGAATATAGAAGTGACTTTTTATTAAAAGCGACTCAACTCAACGCTATCCTCTGCTTTATATCCCTACTACTCCTTCCGTCCTGACTTATCTGACTTCCTAGATACCTAAAATCAGCCACTTCTTCTAATTTTTTGTCTTCTATCTTTATATTCGCTTTTTCCCTACTTTTTCTTCCCTTGCATACCAGTATTTTTGTTTTACTTTTATTTATTTTCATACAATAGTGTTAAAATACTAATAACAATTATTTAACCCTGTATATCAACCCCTAAATGTGTCGTTAATTAGTGGGTATTTATTTTAAAACAAATATGTTGTATCTATATATTTTTTATTGTTAACTTACCTGAATAAAATCACCAGCTATGTACATTATAGAACTATTATAAAGAAATATCTGCTTTCACTTTTACTTTTTTATTAATAATGCATATCTTATGATTATTTCGTAAGGCCGATTTACGCTTGTTGAATTTAAAAGAGTTAATAAAAGTTACAAGAAGAGCCATCTTGTGATTGCTTTTAAGTTGAAAATTGTGTGGGTATTGAAGTTAATTGGGTATCAATTTATAATTATATCTATAGTTGACCCATTAACATTCCACTGTGAAAACTTTTGTTTATTCAAAGATGGCAGTACAATGGTCATTTGTAGGATTATTTAAAAAAAAAATAGAGATCAATACAATTCCAAAGTAACTTAAATTTAATAAAAATAAATGGGGATGATGCGTGAATATGTTCTGTCAAATGCAAGGTAAAAATATAATAAAAAACATAAAAAAAGGTACCAAATCAACTGCAACCCATAAGAATTGTTTAATTATTTACCATTACGAAGAAAAGTTTAATTAATTCACCCCTTATTACAGGACTAATCAGTAAATAAATTAAAAAAGTCAACATTAGTAAATATTTCGATTATTTTTTATTGAAGATAACGTCATTTTTAACTTAATTTCCGAATTTTGAATGATGACACTATTGTAAAATATGACGAATAATAAAATAAATTCAAAAAAAGGTTAGCTATGTTTTCATAATTTTTTTTATTGTAAATTATTTTATTGTTAATTCTTTACTCTTTAATTTATTATTTTTGATTTTATATGCATACTAATATATCTACAGAATACTATTTACCTACAATTTTTTCTGTTCTGAAATTACGCGCTAAAGACTAACTACTGCTGTAAAGAGGTCCTTCTTGTACCAATTTATTTAATTATTACACTCGTAATTAGGAATCAGTAGATTTCGCAAATGTTTTCTGTGTTTGGAATAATTTAAAACATATTGCGATTGTTTAGTTGTTTCGTTCTCACTAAAGATGACAGCTTAAGGCCATTAGAATCTTGGGTTTTATTTTATTATTAACGTTACTTTGTTTTTTAGATAATTTATAAATCTGGCAATTTACCAATTATTATGCCTTTTAATCATAATAATGATATTTCTTATATTAAACATTTAAACTAATAATGAGTATTACAGATATTTAAACAAATCAACACTGGTATATATTTCAATTATTTTTTAATTGAAATTAGTTATTATTCATTCTATCTACACACTTAATAGGTATATAGAATATACCGTTTATCTACAATTTTTTGTTTGAAGTTACACTCTACAGATTAACTACTGCTGTAAAGTACCGAGTTACTTAATTATTATACTCCTAATTAGCAATCAGTAGATTTTTCTAATGTTTTCTGTGTTTGTAATAACTAAAAAGATATTGCTATTGTTTAGTTGTTTCCTTCTCACTGAAGATGATTAATGCTATTTTGTTTTATAGATAATTTATGAATCTGATAATTTACTAAGTACATTATTTACTTGACTGATAGCCAAAATTATGTTATTTTTTAAATTAGACATTTTAACTTATAATGCTTTATTTTTCGTCGTTTTATACTTTCTTATGCCGTTATGATCTAATGTCCTTTAAAAGTCCTTTGATACATTCTCTCGCATGTCTGAGTAAGGAACAAAAAAAACTTCTAGAACTGATAAACAAATCGTCGACTCGCCAGTTTCTGGCAGTATAAAACAGAGTTATGAACTTCTTTAGTAAATAAATATTTAGACTTCGTGTGCTCGTGAAAAACATTAATTATTTAAATAAGTGAAATTGTTTGTAACTATAAACAATCTAAGGATAAAAGGTGTTTGGCTAATGTGTTTTTCAAGCTGTTCGAAATGATGGCGTTAGAAGAGAGGAAGGTAGGAATAATTAATAAGAAATTCTCTACACCATTGATGAATTAATTGATGTTACAGTAGGCAGAAGCTGAATTATATAGAATGTAGATAGTGATAGTACTAATGCGTTTGACTTTTTCTGACAGCAGTTTATTTAAATGTATCTACTTTTTGGAAAAAATCGCATTAGATTTAATTTTTCTAAGTAAATTTGTAGACCGCTCAAAAGTTTGGGCAATTTTGTTTATAAGTAAGAAGGACAATTTTTCGATGTACTTCTTTTATAACCATTTTTTGTTGATTTTAGCGAAAAAAGTTAATTGAGAAAGTTGTTTGTAATAATTTTATCTATACTTCATGCTAAGGGAGTCTAATTTTTTAGAGTGGTAAATTTTCTTCAATAAATGAAAATTTATTGAGAAAAACCGATCAGGTCTAGTTCAAACTTTTCCACTAAAAATTTTAATTTGCCTCCACTATAGTTCACCAATTGTATTGATACGTTATTCCTTCGTGAAATAGATGCACCCAGGCACTTGGTAATTTAAAATAGACGTCATTGTGATAATTTTAAATTGAGTAGAACCAGGTCCAAGTCCACTGAACATTTTAATAGGTCTCTCATTGGTCTCAACTTCAAACAAAGGATAGCTTCGCTTTTACTTGTATTTGTTATCTTCTTAGTGAGTAGTTATTAGGATAGTGTGTCTACAAACTAGAGTTGTTAGGATAGTGTGTATGAACTATCTTAAATATTAGTCTAGGAAGTTGTACGGTAGCCTGTTCATTAATTATCCTCGTAATTAACAAGTTGATCACAATGTTAACTGATATGACCGCCAGAAGAGGGACTGGGATTGACAAATTTCCCGGAACTTCCTATGCAGAACTGTTTCAGGGAAAGTTCAGATTGACAATGCATAACTTCTAATTTAGTTATCTACGTATAGAGGTGCATCATCTTGTCATTATTGGATAAAGTTCAATAAATTCGATAGTTAATTCCAATTATCGCCAGAGCTTACGACATTATTGTTAATCCTGTAATTCAGATATGCTGTGTTGAGGTACAAGATAAATAATACAAAAGTAGTGTTTCCAGCCACTATTTTATTTAGTCTTTTAAAACATTTATAAATGAATGATCACAACCATAATAAAATTGTATTGCACACGTAAAAGTATTTGAATAGGAAACGAAAATAGGATGCAAAAGTTCATCAGCATCTTTTTCTAAATTATTTATTAATTTATTATAAACAAGGAGATATGTACGTTGTTCATTTAATACCTTATTATTTATCAGTTATCAGACATGAAATGAATGTTATAAAGGTATTAAATATTGATTGCAACCTTTGCATGTATATTCGTTTCGTCAAACGTCAGAAAAAGACTAGAAAAGATTATGATAAAATTTTACAGCTTATGTAACTCTAATAATACATTTCATTATATGTATATGATGTTCTGGCACGTGTTTTTTAGTTTTCACTGCGAAGGGATTCCTTCTCTGCTAGGTATTTCCTTAACTGAAACATAAAACTTATTTAACAAGAAGAATTAAGTCCTTGCCAGGGCTGTAGTCAGGGGTACATCAGGGCAGGCTCAGGTTGCTTGCCGCAATATGCCATATTTTATGCTGCGTGAAATGAAAGTCTTTTAGGTTTAATAAATAATTAAATAATTAATTTCTGTTTACATCTGTTAAAGACTTAAATGCTAAATAAGTATGAATAATTTCGTTAAATAATGGTTAATCAAAATTTAAACAAATTTTAATAGCAAAGAAATACATAAATCGATGAAATTCTGTTAAATAATTAAAAAGTTAGTATCTATTAAAATTACATTTTGGCTGTTTTTAAACGCTCGCAACGCTTTCTTAATGTTCGACTTGTATTATTTGCCGCTTTCTACCTGCGTACAATTAGATTTATATTGTAGGTACTTATAAAACAAATGAATTTCAATCCATTTTATAGTTTTTAGGAAATAATTCAATTATTGACAACTATAATTAGATACCAAAGATGGGTTCGGTTTTTCTCNACCTAGTTGAAAGTCTTAAGATCAAATTGATGTAAATAGCTCTCCATTATTAAATTTAAATTTTTCTTCAAAACCTTAATGTCTTACCCTATCCCTCCCTTTCAATGTTCCCACTCCATAAAACATGTTAACTTTTAGTATTTATGCTAATTCAGAATATCTTCACCTGAAGAAGCCAATGTTATGGTGAAACAATTGTTATGAGCAATTAATATATATTTTTGAACTTTACTTTCGTTTTCTTTAATTGATTATGTAGTTTCAACAAGTAAAGCCTTCAACCATTTTCAAAATGTAAAGCTATTCTTTGTTCTCTTCCTGTAAGTTGTAAAGAAGTACCTCGAGTATCTAATAAATACATATTTAATCTTTCTATTTTTTCTATATACACTGTTCTAAAGCAATTTGAGAATTGTTTTTGCTAAAATTGCAGGCAGATGTACCGCATATGAACCAAATGTCCTGACATTCTGCATATATGTTAGGCCCGAAGACCGAAAACGCTCAGTGGCCGAAAAAACGGCCACATCGCGTTCTGGCTGCCTTCGAACGCACAGAACGCGTTTTGGCTGTTTTTAAACGCTCGCAACGCGTTCTGGTNCACTCATTCATATATTATATGCTTGGCAATATAAGTGTTCAGTGTAACCTTCTTCCTAGAACTGAAAAACAATTATAAGAAATTTAATATTGTTGAAATGATTCGACGAGAAGAACCGAACCCACCTTTGGTATCTAATTATAGTTGTCAATAATTGAATTGTTTCCTAAAAACTAAAAAATGGATTGAAATTCATTTGTTTTATAAGTACCTACAATATAAATCTCATTGTACGCAGGTAGAAAGCGGCAAATAATACAAGTCCAACATTAAGAACGCGTTGTGAACGATCAACAATAGACAAAACGCGTTCCGGCTGTTTAACAGTTACCAGAACGCGTTTAAAAACAGCCAAAACGCGTTCTGTGCGTTTGAAGGCAGCCAGAACGCGATGTGGCCGTTTTTTCTGGCCACTGAGCGTTTTCTGTCTTCGGGTCTAACATATATAAAAAAGAGTACGGAATGCCTTGGCACACGGTTCACGAGTGCATGACTAATACATACACTGCATGTATTTTCGTGAAGTTTCAATGCAAAAGGTTTGAATTCTTGTTATAAATAATAGTAAAACGTACATACCCATTGCTTTAAATAGGGAGAAAAGTGGCGATATTGTTGTAACGAAAGTTTTGGTTCAGGAGCCCATGTTTCATCAACTTCACTGTTTCTGGGGCCGGTAAATATTATTTCAGGATTATCCTGTTCTATTTCCTGGAAAACTTCTGCATTTACTTCCTCATCGTTTGCCCTCTTGCCCATTCCACCGTAGCACGAATGGCCGAACGTTGAACAACCCCCTTGAACGAACGTTTCATTATTAATTTTAATATACAGACGGAAGGCAATCCCTTTAACTAGGAAATATGTTAAACTACAGCCACTATTTCAAACTAAACATTGCATTGAGAATTTCAATTAATACGTTCATTTACTTCATGCAAATATCTTCATTCCTGTAGCTTCATCGTGATCAAGCAAAAAAATACGTACATAAGTATGCTATAAAATTGGAATAATCTGGCATTCATTCATGCCTGATTTCTGTGCATTTTTAAAAATAATCCTTAAAGCTTTTTCCATGTTTGATTAACATTCAAAAATGAACTTCTCTGACTGAATTTGTTCCACTAGGGAATGCTCATTCGAATTATTGTATTCCGTTTATAAAATGCAATGAAAAATTTAGTAGTTACCTTCTCGGTGCAGTATAATTATACAAGAGAAATTGCTGAAACAACTTTAAAGAATTCAGAAAAATTCGGCGAAAAATAGTTCAATATATAGGTGTGGCCAACTTGTTTTTTTTTATAAGTAAAGTAATATAATTCAAAAAAGACATCACATAAAGCAAAACGTTCACCGAAGACAGAAATTACACATTTCATTGTATGTAAAGCAACTTTTATTTCTGATTTGTCGGAATAGGGAAGGAATCTCCTTCCTGGGCTATCAGCTACGCTTCTGAGTATTTTTACGGAAATAGCAAGCTATCGTTAAATTAATATCATTTTGAAAAGTCAATTTTTCTACTTCATTTATCATTTTTGTTGCATTAAGATCAAGGAAAGTCATTCGCTGTCAATTATTTATGCAATGCAATTAAAATGTCAAGAAATCTTAGCGAATCTATCTATTCTGAAACAGAGTAGTATATATTTCCTAGATTAAATCATTTTCTGTTGCAATTTTTGCTGTTACAATTCGATTAGGCATTTGCAAGAGAAAAAGGTCGACGATATAAATTAATTGAGTGCGAAACTTCACTTTACTAAACTACATTGTCTTTATTTTACAAAAGGTCCGACTTAATTAAGGAAAATGTCTTTCATTCAATACCTTTCTACCGGAGGCAGAGATCAATAGGGTGGTGGAAAATTTTAAACGTAACGTTAAAGAAAACTACGCAGGGGTACATAAAAGGCATTATGGAATATTCAAAGTGGTAAAATCAGTTTATATTAACGTATATTCAATGTATATTTTAAAACAAAGCACTGATTTGTTTCCATCGCTTTATGGAACATTAAAATATTTAGTGATATGTATAAAGTTCAGCTCCTACCTAAAACTAGTTACGCATTTCCAGTGGAGTGGACTTCACCAATCATTTACAAAGATAAACCGTTTTTGGGATAGGAAAGCGTACTCGCATGTTTGAGATTGTACTGATATTAATCCTTTCTGCTTCCAGTGCGCTTTTAACTAGCCCTTCATGCCTGAGAAGGTGTCATACCAACTCATGTCACGTATTTTTTTTTGAATTCCATAGACCCCTCTGCTCCCCATTTTTTCTAATACTTCCTTATTTCTAGCCTTTCTTCACGGTATCCTCATCATTCACCTGTTACACCATATTTCGAACGCTTCTAATATTTTCTTTTCATTCGCGTCCATCGCCCGCGTTTCGCACCCATACGGCGTCGTTAACAAACCTTCGAATTTCCAAATTATACTTTCCTGAGTACTTCTATTTCATTAAAGGCAATTCGACTATGCGCTATCATTTGTTTTATATTTCTTCATTATGTCTTATCTGACTTCCTAGATACCCAAAATCAGCAACTTCTTCTAATTTTTCGCCTCCTATCTTTATATTCGTTGTTTCCCTACTTTTTCGTCTCTTGCATGCTATTTTTATTTATTTTCATACAATACTCATTTGTCAATATGGCTTCCATTTTATTTGAAGCTACAACCCGATGAGTGGTTAGAAACCTATCTAATATTCTTCCTCTCNCATGACTCATGCGGCGTTACCTCGCTCTGAGGCGTTCCATTTAAGGCTTGAAGTGCAAGAGAGAGCGCGGAACAAGCGACAAAGAGGAACAATCGGCCTCCGCGTTCGGTAGCGTTCGACATCTGTCTCTCTCCTACTTGAGTGAGCGATGCGTCCGCGTGGACAGCTGCTATACAATAATATTTCCATTTACCTCCTTCTCTATATCCATACAAAATATTTGAAAAATGAAACCATTCCATCAGTATTTTCTTATGACGTTGTCACGTTCAACTATCGTCAGTAAACCGACTTTACATACAACCGATTTTTATTAAAGTGAATATCTCCTTTTGTTAAGTTTTTATGGCATAAAATCTGTATAATAACGATATTGGCAAACTAATTTAACTAGTCTGGATGAGTTTAGTAGAGACGCATACTGCTGTCAAAGCAGAGGTCAGTTTGGTGATTTATTTTACAAAACATTGCAATTTGTTGTGCTCACTAAATACATGTACCTCAACGTACAGAAATTAGCATTTAAATCACGCTGAATTAGTTACACTTTAGTCAAAATGAAAAATCTTGACCATCATTTACGTTGACATTATAATGCTCGTTGCTGGAATTTATTGACCTGTAATCATTTTGATCTATTCAAACTTAACGCAATACGTGAATTCATATTTACGGAATAGAAAAGAAAAATAATTTGACAAAAAACGAAATTTTAATTAAACAAAATTTTATCAAACGCGTATGCGGTAAAGATTCATATCTGTCAATCAATTTCAACTTGATTACATTACTGAAAATGGTACTCAGAAGCATATAGCTGTAGAGTCACTCTTAATTACTTAAATTATAGATACAACAAGTTTACTATAGCTTGTAATGACCAAAAAGAATTCAAGAAGCCATTTTTAGCCTTTTTTGAGTATTTCTCGATCTCACCACTCGATATTATAGTATTTGGGGAAAAGAAGTATTATATTTATTAATTGAGTGCGAAACTTCACTTTACTAAACTACATTGTCTTTATTTTACAAAAGGTCCGACTTAATTAAGGAAAATGTCTTTCATTCAATACCTTTCCACCGGAGGCAGAGATCAATAGGATGGTGGAAAATTTTAAACGTAACGTTAAAGAAAACTACGCAAGATTCATAAAAGGCATTGTGGAATATTCAAAAGTGATAAAATCAGTTTATATTAACGTATATTCAATGTATATTTTAAAACAAAGCACTGATTTGTTTCCATCCTTTATGGAACATTAAAATATTTAGTGATATGTATAAAGTTCAGCTCCTACCTAAAACTAGTTACGCATTTCCAGTGGAGTGGACTTCACCCATCATTTACAAAGATAAACCGTTTTTGGGATAGGAAAGCGTACTCGCATGTTTGAGATTGTACTGATATTAATCCTTTCTGCTTCCAGTACGCTTTTAACTAGCCCTTCATGCCTGAGAAGGTGTCATACCAACTCATGTCACGTATTTTTTTTTGAATTCCATAGACCCCTCTGCTCCCCATTTTTTCTAATACTTCCTTATTTCTAGCCTTTCTTCACGGTATCCTCATCATTCACCTGTTACACCATATTTCGAACGCTTCTAATATTTTCTTTTCATTCGCGTCCATCGCCCGCGTTTCGCACCCATACGGCGTCGTTAACAAACCTTCGAATTTCCAAATTATACTTTCCTGAGTACTTCTATTTCATTAAAGGCAATTCGACTATGCGCTATCATTTGTTTTATATTTCTTCATTATGTCTTATCTGACTTCCTAGATACCCAAAATCAGCAACTTCTTCTAATTTTTCGCCTCCTATCTTTATATTCGTTGTTTCCCTACTTTTTCGTCTCTTGCATGCTATTTTTATTTATTTTCATACAATACTCATTTGTCAATATGGCTTCCATTTTATTTGAAGCTACAACCCGATGAGTGGTTAGAAACCTATCTAATATTCTTCCTCTCAAAAACTCGAACAACCAGCTTATATTTGTTTGCTGTTATTCCAAACTCTTCTTCCTGCAGCCCTTTTACCAGTTCATCTGGGGTGCCAGGAGATTCTGTTCTGAGTTGTCACTAATGATAGTTTCTGTGTCTTTAAATCCCTCTCGCTAATTGACCATCACGTGGCTAGTGGTCTGCCTCTTCCTCTTGGTTGTCTATTAATGTTAAGTACTGTCTTCACAGAGAAGTTGTACTCAAGGCTCACTACATGACCCTACAATCTAAGTCTACATTACTTTAGCTTCCCCTCTACCAGACCTACTTTAAAGAGTCCGTTCACATATTCGTTTCGTATCCTGTTCAGGCGCGTAACGCTGCCTGCCCATGGCAACCCATCTCGTCTATTTCGTATTGATTACCATTTCCATAACGTCGTCTGTTCTCTTGCGCCTTCTAATATATCTTCATTTCTAACCTTTTCTGTATCCATTGTATTTCTAACATTCTTTTATAGCAGCACATCTCAAATGTTTCTAACACTTTCTTTTCTGCGGCGCCCATCCCCCACGTTTCATATCAACGCAGAGCCATGCTACAAACGTACGCCTTCAATAATAGTTTTTTAATTTTCAAATTAACTGATCTCGAGCCCAAAGTAATGTCTTTTTGTTAAAAGCGACCTGACTTGAGCTATTCTGTATTGTTTTATATCCTGGGTTACCAAACTCCCTAAATACCTTCTAGATTATTGTCTCCTATAGCTGTTTTAGTTACAACCTCACTTTTACATCCCTTACCTGCTATTGTCTTTGTTTTGTTTTTATTAATTTTCAAACCATTTTTTTCTGGAAATACCGCTTCCACTTTGTTTAAACCTAACTAACTCTCCCTTGCTAGATGCTAATCATCTACCCTTGTATGTCTAACAATGAAACTATCCTATCATTAATGATATTAATCGCATCTTCAATATACAAATTTAAAAGGCTGGAGTCCTTTCTTAGGTTTTTACAACAAACCTACAAACCATTAGAAATAAGAGTGTGCACTTTGAGGACAGAGGACCACAAATAAACGGCAAATAAGCCTTAAGTAACCCCGTGTAATCTAATATTTGTCTCTAGTTAAAACCATTAAATAAGGATTACGTCGTATAAGAGATAGGCATATACATATAAGCATACAATACTTTCAATTCTAACGTGAGTTATGCCATTTAATTGATTATTGTAATATTGTCAGACATTCTCTGCCTGCACTTTTATTTTTTAGAATTTATTGGCATTCAATGTGCCGTTATATTTGTACAAAGGTACAATATATCATCTCCCGTGCACAGCAACTACCCACATATCTGTACGGATATGACAATAGGACATTATTTTCTCAATCAACACGCTCTATAGAGGTGGGTTGGCTGGTATGTATACTCTCGAGATTCAATCAATGAAAGTTGAATTTGCAGTTCAACGACTTTCTCATTGTTTTTTGTAGCTTCATCATCATCATCGTCATTAGGTCGTCAGTCCTAAAACTGGTTGGACACGCACCCCCACTCTTTCCTATCCTGAGCTAATCTTCAGATTTTCCTAAAACTAGAACATCCAACATCCTTAATTTTTGGTGAACAGTAACCTAATCTAGGTCTATGTTCACCCCTCCTAACTCCCGTTTCTGCCTCTAATATGTTTCTGACTAGACCCTCATGCCTGAGAAGGTGCCCTACTAACCTATCCAGCCTATTTCTTATTGACTTCCATAGAGTCCTCTGTTCTCCTATTCTTTCTAATACCTCTTCGTTCCTAACTTTCTCATCAATCGCATGTAGCACCACATTTCGAACGCTTCTAACTTTTTCTATTCCGCCGCGCCCACCGTCCATTGTTTCGCACCCATACAGCGTCGCGCTCAGAACATACACCTTTAACAATCTTTTTCGAATTTCTAAATTAACCGTTCGCGAGCATATAAATGACTTCTTTTTATTGAAGGCGACTCGATCCTGTGCTATCCTTTGCTTTATATCCCTACTACTCGTTCCGTCCTGACTTATTTGACTTCCTAAATACCTAAAAACATCCACTTCTTCTAATCTTTTGTCTTTACATTCGCTCTTCCCCTACTTTTTCTTCCCTCGCATATCAGTATTTTTGTTTTTTTTTATTTATCTCCATGTAACACTAGTTTGNTATATATATATCTGAAGAAGCCAATGTTTGTTGAAACAATTAAAAAAATTCTTTACACTTTTCATTTCTTAATTTAATTTCGGATGTGAAATTATTAAAAATGTGAGTAACGTAAGTTTAAAAGTTTTGAATGTAGATGGAGCGATAAAGCAATTTCTTTGTTAGGAAATCATTAATAAATAATCAATAATAGAACTTTAGTGTGATTGGAATTATGACGGGAAGCAAAATGAAAAGCTAATCAATATTTAGATGAACGGCATTCGTCGTCAAATACCAAAGTTTGATGGAGAGATTACAAAGGCCTACAGGACATATTACCATTTAGACTTACTAATTATTTGGGATTTATCTAGATTAAACATCCAGAGAGGAATTACGACACAATAATAGAGGACTATTTCAGTTCAGAAGTTTGTGGGTTGTTTTATAGACCTGACATCTTTAGTTTGTAAAATGTTTACGGTTCACTTTGGAATATGATAAGCAATTATACGTTATAATGTAGGGAAATGTTGTACAAAGATAGTGTAAAAAGTTACATTGTCAATAAGGTTAATAAGTTGGTTGCACTAGACCCATTTTAATAATTTTTACATATCCACTTGTCAAGTACTACATTAATACAGTAAGTTTACTGACGGTATGTTATGAAGACAAGGTTCAACTTAAATATTTCGTACTCCTTTCTACAATAGTTCCTATTTTCGTGGGCAACTGTAATATTCTTTAATAAGGACAAAGTTTGAGTTATAAAAATTACAAACATTTTTTGAAAATTCATTAAACGCCAGGATTACAAGGCATTAATGTCCTATTGGCTATTTTATGTCCCACCTATGACATTATAAAAATTATTTTTGAAGAATTTATTAATTGTTTGCCAATAAAAATATCATTTCCTACATTTCATGTTGTTGTCATCATCATCATAAGGACGTTAGTCCTACGATTGGTTGGACACTTACATCTACTCCTTCCCATTCTGAGCTAATATTCGCATTTCCCTAAAACTAAAACATGGGATGTTTTTCCTTAACTATTGAAAAATTACTTCTTTGAACTCCTGTTTCTGCCTCTAATATGTCTCTGACTAGACCTTCATGGCTGACAAGGTATCTTACCAACCTATCTCTCCTATTTTTATTTACTTCCATAGAGTCTCCTGTTTTTCTATTCTTTCTAATACCTCTTAATTTTTAACCTTCTCTGTCCTTATCACATTTCGAACGCTTCTAACCTTTTCTTTTCCGCCACGCCCACCGTCCATGTTTCGCACCCGTACAGCACCGCGATCCAAACATGCACCTTTAACAATCTTTTTCGAATTTCTAAATTAATCGTTCGCGAGCATAGAAGTGACTTCTTTTTATCGAAGGCAACTCGACCCTGCGCTATCCTCTGCTTTATATCCTTACTACTCCTTCAGTCCTGACTTATCTGACTTCCTAGATACCGAAAATTAGCCACTTCTTCTAATCTTTCGTCTTCTATCTTTATATTTGCTCTTTCTCTACTTTTCCTTCTCTTGCATACCAGTATTTTTGTTTTAATTTTATTTATTTTCGTACAATACTGTTTCGTCAATACCGCTTCCATTTTATTTAAAGCTATCTCTAACTCCTCCTTGATGGATGCTAACATCATCTGCAAATCTAAGCATACTAATCGTTTGACCCTGTATATCTATCTCTACAGTTATTATATTGTCTTTAATGATGTTGATCGCGTCTTCGATGTATAGATTAAAAAATGGCGGTGNGTACACCTATTGTTTAGGTAAGTTGACAAAATCTTAAAATTACAAAAGGTTATTAAAATTTCATTCATTCATATATTATATGCTTGGCAATATAAGTGTTCAGTGTAACCTTCTTCCTAGAACTGAAAAACAATTATAAGAAATTTAATATTGTTGAAATGATTCGACGAGAAGAACCGAACCCACCTTTGGTATCTAATTATAGTTGTCAATAATTGAATTGTTTCCTAAAAACTAAAAAATGGATTGAAATTCATTTGTTTTATAAGTACCTACAATATAAATCTCATTGTACGCAGGTAGAAAGCGGCAAATAATACAAGTCCAACATTAAGAACGCGTTGTGAACGATCAACAATAGACAAAACGCGTTCCGGCTGTTTAACAGTTACCAGAACGCGTTTAAAAACAGCCAAAACGCGTTCTGTGCGTTTGAAGGCAGCCAGAACGCGATGTGGCCGTTTTTTCTGGCCACTGAGCGTTTTCTGTCTTCGGGTCTAACATATATAAAAAAGAGTACGGAAAGCCTTGGCACACGGTTCACGAGTGCATGACTAATACATACACTGCATGTATTTTCGTGAAGTTTCAATGCAAAAGGTTTGAATTCTTGTTATAAATAATAGTAAAACGTACATACCCATTGCTTTAAATAGGGAGAAAAGTGGCGATATTGTTGTAACGAAAGTTTTGGTTCAGGAGCCCATGTTTCATCAACTTCACTGTTTCTGGGGCCGGTAAATATTATTTCAGGATTATCCTGTTCTATTTCCTGGAAAACTTCTGCATTTACTTCCTCATCGTTTGCCCTCTTGCCCATTCCACCGTAGCACGAATGGCCGAACGTTGAACAACCCCCTTGAACGAACGTTTCATTATTAATTTTAATATACAGACGGAAGGCAATCCCTTTAACTAGGAAATATGTTAAACTACAGCCACTATTTCAAACTAAACATTGCATTGAGAATTTCAATTAATACGTTCATTTACTTCATGCAAATATCTTCATTCCTGTAGCTTCATCGTGATCAAGCAAAAAAATACGTACATAAGTATGCTATAAAATTGGAATAATCTGGCATTCATTCATGCCTGATTTCTGTGCATTTTTAAAAATAATCCTTAAAGCTTTTTCCATGTTTGATTAACATTCAAAAATGAACTTCTCTGACTGAATTTGTTCCACTAGGGAATGCTCATTCGAATTATTGTATTCCGTTTATAAAATGCAATGAAAAATTTAGTAGTTACCTTCTCGGTGCAGTATAATTATACAAGAGAAATTGCTGAAACAACTTTAAAGAATTCAGAAAAATTCGGCGAAAAATAGTTCAATATATAGGTGTGGCCAACTTGTTTTTTTTTATAAGTAAAGTAATATAATTCAAAAAAGACATCACATAAAGCAAAACGTTCACCGAAGACAGAAATTACACATTTCATTGTATGTAAAGCAACTTTTATTTCTGATTTGTCGGAATAGGGAAGGAATCTCCTTCCTGGGCTATCAGCTACGCTTCTGAGTATTTTTACGGAAATAGCAAGCTATCGTTAAATTAATATCATTTTGAAAAGTCAATTTTTCTACTTCATTTATCATTTTTGTTGCATTAAGATCAAGGAAAGTCATTCGCTGTCAATTATTTATGCAATGCAATTAAAATGTCAAGAAATCTTAGCGAATCTATCTATTCTGAAACAGAGTAGTATATATTTCCTAGATTAAATCATTTTCTGTTGCAATTTTTGCTGTTACAATTCGATTAGGCATTTGCAAGAGAAAAAGGTCGACGATATAAATTAATTGAGTGCGAAACTTCACTTTACTAAACTACATTGTCTTTATTTTACAAAAGGTCCGACTTAATTAAGGAAAATGTCTTTCATTCAATACCTTTCTACCGGAGGCAGAGATCAATAGGGTGGTGGAAAATTTTAAACGTAACGTTAAAGAAAACTACGCAGGGGTACATAAAAGGCATTATGGAATATTCAAAGTGGTAAAATCAGTTTATATTAACGTATATTCAATGTATATTTTAAAACAAAGCACTGATTTGTTTCCATCCTTTATGGAACATTAAAATATTTAGTGATATGTATAAAGTTCAGCTCCTACCTAAAACTAGTTACGCATTTCCAGTGGAGTGGACTTCACCAATCATTTACAAAGATAAACCGTTTTTGGGATAGGAAAGCGTACTCGCATGTTTGAGATTGTACTGATATTAATCCTTTCTGCTTCCAGTGCGCTTTTAACTAGCCCTTCATGCCTGAGAAGGTGTCATACCAACTTATGTCACGTATTTTTTTTTTGAATTCCATAGACCCCTCTGCTCCCCACTCTTTCTAATACTTCCTTATTTCTAGCCTCTCTTCACGGTATCCTCATCATTCACCTGTTGCACCACATTTCGAACGCTTCTAATCTTTTCTTTTCTTTTCCTTCGCGTCCATCGTCTGCGTTTCGCACCCATACAGCGTCGTTAACAAACCTTCGAATTTCCAAATTAAACTTTCCCGAGTACTTCTATTTCATTAAAGGCAATTCGACTGTTTTATATTTCTTCATTATGACTTATCTGACTTCCTAGATACCCAAAATCAGTGACTTGTTCTAATTTTAAATAATAGATAAAAGAAGAATATTCACTCTATTGCAAATTTGTTCTTCGAGGTGGACCACCTGAGATTATTACAGAAATGAATAGAGGAGGCATTCCTGAAGTGTTTTATTGGGAGGCGTTACTATCCCTTACCTAGTTTTTTTGCTAAGGGGGCATCAAAGTTGACTAATTTTTTCTTCAATGTTAAACATGTAAACCTCTATTCGGTCTAATTTGAGTATGCTGAAATCTAAAATTTCATTCACTTTGATTTAATTTCAATATTTCTAATAAAAAAACATGAATTTTTACCACTTTACACACAACCTTTTTATTTTAATTGCTACTAGAAGTTTATTTTTTCACATTCTTATTAACCACGTCATAGTCTACAAGAATCGAATTGCTGAACTAATTTTAAAAATTCTTCCAATAGGTAATAGAATGGCTACTACCCTGGGTAATATATGCTATGTTTTATTTTGATAAAAAAAGTTTGATAAAAAAAGCAAAACTGCCATATCTTTTTCAAAAATAAAGAGAAAAAAAGAGACAGAAATTCAATCACTGTAAGAGTAAAAGGATTACAGTAACTATGAAACCCCAACCGACATTTTGCTATACACTCATCTTCATATACATATTATTATTTTATTATTATATTTTTGACGTGACAACGTCTTATAATTCGATGGAGCCGGCTGCACGCACGAAAAAACGCGACTCATGTGGCGTTACCTCGCTCTGAGGCGTTCCATTTAAGGCTTGAAGTGCAAGAGAGAGCGCGGAACAAGCGACAAAGAGGAACAATCGGCCTCCGCGTTCGGTAGCGTTCGACATCTGTCTCTCTCCTACTTGAGTGAGCGATGCGTCCGCGTGGACAGCTGCTATACAATAATATTTCCATTTACCTCCTTCTCTATATCCATACAAAATATTTGAAAAATGAAACCATTCCATCAGTATTTTCTTATGACGTTGTCACGTTCAACTATCGTCAGTAAACCGACTTTACAGACAACCGATTTTTTT